AAAAGCCATCAACCGATGGTGCGCAGTTTAAAGCCCGCTTGCAAGAGTTAATTTCTAGCCACGCTCTGTACAACAACGTAACCTTTCCCACCAGATTTCGAACTGCAAACAAGCCGTCAATACTCGATCTTGTGCTCATTAACGAAGAACTCATGGCCGACAGGATAGTTACAAGCAGGCCACTGGATCGCGGTGACCATGTTACTCTACTCTTTGTACGCTATTCGGAATATTCTGAAGAGGATAATAAAGTGCATACTATCATGCAATATAACGTGTTATCTAGGCTTGTTAAGGATATATCTTGGACTTTCTTAACCAAATGCCCCCGGGCCTCGCCTAGGAAACTTTCACAAAGACGTTCAGCACACTGGTACAGCACGCATCGGAGCAGAAGTCTTTCCAACGTAAAACCAAATGTAAGTCATTTATGAGGAGCAGAACACGTAAATGTATGTCCCTGAGAGATATGGTATGGCGAACACGTAAGGACCGCCTGAATGCCGAAACCTGGACTGCATACGTGGCACATCGTAACTTCTGTGTGAAATTGATCCGCGAAAACAATGTCACACATGAGCAGGAGTTGATGAAGCGATTTTGCAGGAACCGCAAGTTTCTGTACTGGTACGTTAATGGTCTTCGTAAGGTGAAGCGCGGAATTCCAGCACTGGTCATGACTGATGTGTGCATGCGGTCCGCAATGGAAGCAGCCGATCTCCTACGGATTCAGTACTCCCAAACTTTTTAGTAGATAACAAGCTCAAATATTCTCCACTTTCCTATTACTCCACCGTCAGGTTTAGACAACCTCACCTTCACTGCGGAAGCTGAGTTGAAGAAGTTGTTATCCTTGCGTATCCACAGTTCTCTTGGAGTTGACAACATTCGACCGGAAGGTTCTACAGGCAGTAGCTAGTGATTTAGCAGAACCAATGGCCGTTTTCTATCAGGGATGTCTAGAGGAGAAACATAGTTCACCAGTGGGGAAGCAACGGGTCATCAGTTATATTTATAAGGGAGGTAGCCGAACTGAGCATACCAATTACCGTTCAATAACGCTACTTCCTGTACTATCCAAAGTTATGGAATCAATCATCGCAGATGCGCTGATGCAGTATCTGGAAAGCCACAACTTAATACCCCCAGAGCAACATGGCTTTCGTCAAAAGCGTTCATGTAATACTAACCTATTAATTGCACGTAACAGCTGTTGAAGATGGAGCAGGATTCGATGTCATCTACCTGGAGTTTGCAAAAGCGTTTGATCGCTTAGACCATCGAATTCTCCTTCGCAAGCTTGGGAAATACAGAATTGGCGACTTAATCCTGAGTTGGATAAGCAACTTGCTACCCGAACGTCGGTTGGAGATGTGAGTCCGCGAATCTCTGTCCGATGCGATTGATGTGGAGCGTGGTGTACCATAAGGCTCAGTGCTTTGGCCTCATCTATTCTTCGTGTTCAAAAACGATTCAGTGTAATCAACTGCTTCCGGTTTCCTATTTTGCGCGGTTGATATCAAGATATGACGTACGATCAGAGGACGACCACCAAGAGCTCCAATGCGATCATAACACGTTTTCGAAATGGTCAGTTCAGAATGCCCTACCATTCAAAGTAGACAAACGTTGCGTTGTTCAATTGCGCCATACACATGAGTACAAATATTTGCTTGGGGCACACGGATCGCAGACCAGTTCTCAGGAAGGTAACCTTGGTGCGCTCATACAGAGTGACGTCAACGGTTCAAAACAGGTTGAGGTAGCTGCGAAAAGACGCAACCAAGAAGTCAGCATACTGCGAAGGGCATTGGGAAGTCTTGATGCATCATTCTTCCCCATGATGTACAAATCCTACGTGCGTCCTCACGTTGAATACCCTATTCAAGCTTGGCAAGCTTGGCTGGAGCGTGACATAGAGGCACCACAAAGAAGAGAGATGATGAACGTAATGTTAAGGATACGAGGCCAACCAATCACGGACCGATGGACCCTTAGGAGATTGCACTCAATGAGAGGTTGAATGCTAATCTGTGGGGTTCAACAGCAAAGTTCAATTCAGAACTGAACCGGTTTGAGTAGTGTTAATTGATAGTAATCAGCATCTTCAATATTGTTATTGGTTATGATGTGTTTAGTAGCTTAGCTTCATCCTGTTTATATCGCTGTGTTCCAACGTATCACAACTCTTGGTCGGGCTGATCTTTGGCCTTCTCATTACCGTGTGGGGTGGAACCGGTTGGGGGCGGCACAATATTAAGTGCCTGCGTAATCACTCTGACCACCGAAGGCTGAAGTTGCTGGTTTTCAGCGGAGGCTACCGAAGACTGTGCGGAGATCACAAATTAGCGTACCAAATATTGAGCGACCCTGACCACATATGCCGCCATTTGCTGAAACTTAGCCGCAACACGCAGCTCAAAGACAACTGTTTGAAAATGAGGGAACAATATAGACGTTAGTGTGTAGACGGGAATTAATTTTCACTTCGGGTTTGCCAACCCTGGAACGCTTTCCCAGGCTCAGTTATATCCTCCCCTACTATGAACCTTTTGAAAAAAAACGATTAGATGTTGCTCTCACCTCCCAGCACTTCGTGGCCTAAACAACGCCATTGTGGATTGAGTCAATAGTGCCCTTCTACTGGATTTATGTATCCTATGGACCCAAAAAAGTGGCGCATAAGTGAGCGACCATAGTTTACTTTTTGCACGCTTTACATCAACGATCATTGCACCCCGTGTATTTCTGTATGCTTGTATTCGATTTCTATTCTACAATAACGTTATTTACCAAAGCATTTATCTCGCTAGACGCTCGGTAAGTGAATCCCATATATATATATATATATATATATATATATATATATATACCAACTTCTCTGTACTCACCCCAACCATCCTACGGGAGGTGTAAAGTCATTACTTTCATCCCGTGACAAATCATTGTTCATTGTCTTCGGTGTGCGTTATACACTGTGGCTACACCAAGCCGGGCGAAACCGCAAGGCGGTCAGTCGATGACGTAGCATATGGGTATGAAAAGACTGACCGAGAGATTTAGTCAGACTGGTGCATCCCGTCCTCGTGGATAGTCTAAACCAATGGTTGGAGATCCTGTCAGACATGGCGCATTCTAGCAGTCATTGGCGTTCGATTGCTTGGGTCCTGTTGCTAAATTTTTATTCCAGCTTGATTAGTTTAAAGCACCTTCCCCTTGATCTCATTCTCGTTACTTCCCATTTGTATACAATCTTATTTTCTTTTCGTTATTATTCTGACGATGTGAGTCCTGGCAGCTGGATCCGCCGCATATCGGTGTCTGGATCATGGTTGTTTAACTGAACTGAACTACGTACAGCAATCTTGTTTGCCTTAAGGGCTGCATTTGTGTTCGCCGTTTGTTCACACTCTGCCAATTATTTTGTCATTTGCCAAGGTGGCGCTGACCAAAGGTTAGTGGGGGAAAGACCACCGAGGAAGTTTGAATGCCCGTGCTAACCTGTTCTCCCCCTCGCCTTGATTAACCGATTGTACAACGCCGTTGTCAGACATTTTCCATGGGGTTTCTTCAAACATTAAACACCTACGATCACCACCACCTTTGAGGGATAATTAATCTACGATGAGGGTGTTTGTTTGCTAATACGACCACTCGGTATTGAGCCAGAAAAATGCAGCCGGTCACAGAGTACAACTATTTCATTCGATAAGTTGAATTAGGTTGAATCAAGCTGGTAGACCAACACAGTAGCAGTTCAACCTACCCTACTCGCATACGATGTTGAGGAATGGAAGAAACCGACAAATAATCATTGGCTTTCTTGATTTTGAGATGTAAACACCTTCACCTCCAGTCTGGTCGCAGTGTGTGAGTTGGATACTTTCTGTCAAATGTCTCAGGAGATCAATGATGATACGTGCTGTCAGATGTGCCGGCGTACCATGGATAGCAATAAGTCTGTTGCTATGACCCGTGGACTTTGTTTCCTTTGTTCTTACGTTTGTCCTTTCCCACATGCTGTGGCGCTTTCCGATTGCAATGCAATCAGTTTTGCATTCAACATTAAATGTGTGCGTTCGCCGTTTAGGGTTGTGACGCATTTATATGTGCAAAACCACGACTGAGGAATTCACTGCTTCCGTGGCTATTTTACACATGTTGTCCCATTACTTCAATTTGTGCGCGCAACTTGAGTTGAATCAGGGCTATTCAACATAAGCTTCTGTTGTCATTTCACCTGCCCTGACTCCCTTCCATTTTCCATATTCTGGATCATGTAAACTTATGTTATGTATCCAATTATACACTGTAGAACTATTCGTTACATTGGTCTTCCTTTGTATGGTGTTCTGACGACAGACCGTCTTCAACGTAGCTGCTCCATGGTCCACATTTAGGCTCTGTCGCTTTTCTCTTCTTCGTAGTGCCACTCTACATAAATCTTTTCTTCGTTCATGTCATCGCGAATTCCACATCCTGGTCGGTCGCTTTAGCAAAACTATTCGTAACTCTCTCTCTCTCTCTCTCCGTACTTTAATGTTTAACGAGGAATTTTAAGCTGGGTCACTGCAATGCACGTTACATTGTAAGTGGGCTCTCCTCGTTGCTTTTTCATATTGGGATATGCATATATAGGAAAAAGATTTTAGTAGCACGCCGGTACACAGTACAGACACTACGCTGCCACGCAACCACTAACAGTAGCGCGTGGGCTAAGGATACTGCGATAGTCGCACGGTACTCTACCCAGGCTCGAATCCGGGCCCTCGGGTTACAAGGCGGGTTTGTGAGCCTTTAAGCCAAGGGCCAGCATAGATACAAAACTGTGGCCAAAGGTTTTCTGACATATTAAATTCTCGTCATTTTTGATTACATTATGGCCTCAAAACCTGCTTGCTGTATCGTTTAAACTTTAAGTGCGTTTCTGCACCCTCATCAAGCCGCCACCCTGTTTTGTTTCCTTTCCGTCACATATAACCATTCTATTTTGTCCACAGAGTCCGAGTTCTTCATCCGTAACTGTCTTAAAGCCAGTCATCCGTTTGTCATGCACATCAAAGATAGCAATGGAGTTGAGGTAATCCGAGTTCGTCGACGATACAAGTGTTTGTGTTTGTGGCAATGTTTCAGGTTAGTTTGAAACAGTCGACTAGTTCTTCCTTGGAGATTATCCTTATTCCCATCCTGCTTACACCAACAGTGTTTGGTCATTGCATCAATTCAATCTCATTAGCCACTAATTTATGCAACTTATGGGGTTTCACATTTGATCGGTCACATTCTTAGTTTGTCAGTGTCGGTCCGTACTGGCTCAACAGATACTTGTTGTTATGATAGAAGATATCTATTGTCTTTACTAACTTGTTATTCGAGGAGATTCAGTTCGCCGCTTCATCTTCGGGGGTTTGTGCTTTTCACTGTTTTGGTGTCACACCACTTCGTCTGGTGTGCATACCGCCAGTAGTAAGAACCTGTTCATTTAGATGATCCACAATTGTAGATGGTCGGAAAATAAAACTCGTATTATGACGCCTCAGTATGCGTGCCCAACTTCACCCAGTGTTGACAGCACGCCGTCCCACAGCGACCAACATGGTCGCACTTCACCGCTTTTCGCATAGTCGCAGTCCAAACCTGTCCTATATGAAAATGTTTTTCGCTTCCTTTTAAACCTTCCACCTCAATTGCTTATTCCTATGTTTTCTCACACGTAAACCCTTCTGCTTGGAAGATTTTTGTCGACGTGGATGTCTGACCGTATGAGCGCTCGAAAATCTCCCATGGCGTTACAATAATTCCAACTGATAAGCACTAACACGTGTTGATGATAGGTGTCTGGTTAATAATATTACGCGAATTTTCCCGCTTGATCTCCGAACGTGGAATTCCACAGCACTGTTATAATGGAGCCTGCTGTCGAATCGGGTCAATGGCTACTCGCATTCCGACACGACCGAGTGTCGAGGTTCCTGAGCTAAATTCCCAGGCGCTTGCCCGTACGATCTAGCGCGTGAGTGAATACATGGCATGCACGGAGCAACAAGCACAATACGAGTGGCGCGTTGAAGCGCTAAATCGCATGTGCACCGGTGAACATAGACATCTTCATTGGTGCGATGACCGCAACGCAGGAGGCTTCCCGGCGCCATGCGATTGCAATGGGCGACGTATCAACCTGGGCAATGAAATTGTAATGCAGATGGTATATGGGTGATCTTAGTGCTAGTTTCAAGGCTAGCATGCATTGCACTTCAAAGCAACGTGTGAAAGTTACACAGAGTACTGATTTAGTGGGGTCAATGAAGTGAATGCCCAACGAGTCAGGTAGGTGTGGGCCACAAAATTCAAAAATGAAAGTGATCTCACCGTTAGGCCTATACTAATGCTGTGGTGATATCATGATGCAGTATGGCTAGAGGAATAGTGATGCAAGACGAGGCTGCGAATGGGATGTCTACATGGAGAACGGCTTACGGGCTTGTTGTACGCTGCCGCGTACGAATCGAAGAATGTCTTCCTACTGAAAGCAAATGTGAATGAGTCTCGCTTGTTCGTCAGATGAAATTAATAGGCAGTCGCGGACTATCCGCGCAGCGTCTCAGAGCGTGGTGAGTTCGAGTCCGGCTATCTGGTTATGCATTAAATACCACAAGAGGTCACTCAACAATATGACATAGCCAACGTTTCCGGCTATAGGACCAGTGACCACCCAATTTTTAACCTGAATGGAGTACCTAGCAAAGAGTGGATAAACTACCTCGATTATCACTCGCTTCTGTGTGAACTGCCATAGAACATTAAGAAGACATTTGAACCACTTGGCTGGCAACTGTTTTCGCATTCAACAACGAGTCAGATGTTTGAGGAAACCTTCCCATGCCCGTTTACTGCTATACTCGTACTGTTCGGGCGCCATGAACAGTTTGTTACCACTCGAAAGTCGTGTTATCGGCTCTTGACGGTTCGCGATATACGTTAATCGTCTCACTGCTTTGCGGGTAAGGTCTTTAGGAACTAAAACGCTGGCTCTGGTTACATAGGTTAACCCTCTTTCTCTACTGTCATATACAGAAGCCTAACCCAAATGCTGCACATGACCTGATCCCAGCTATCCCCCGATCCAATCAGATTGTGCCACTGCCCAGCCAATCATCAGTGAGTTAACCATTAATGAACCGTATAATTCAGCCGTTATAGGACACATGTTGACTCATGACTTTTGAACCCGTTGTATCAATACTACCTGGTCATATCTACGATCTAGTCTTTTGTCCACCTACTTGGGGTAGTTCAGGTCATATCATCTACCTGGGTAACTGAAAAGCTCTGTGTGCACACAATACACTGGAACATAAATTCACGTAATCCTCGGATCGTTTGCGGGATCTAGGTGAAGAAGCCGCGGACCAAGCCAATGTAGAAATTGTGTTTAATGCGCGCGCAGAAGCAGCGCCACTTGTTTGGATTCTAATTAGTAACCAACCTGTGCAATTCGGCTTGACATCTTCATACGATTGTGCAGCCGCGGGGCAACCAAACACGGTTTGTTTGACGCAACAGTGAATGTTCCCACGGGTTACAGCCCGGACTCCGCTAACGATGATTTCTACCGTCAACTCTCCAACCTACTCCATAAGAATCACCGCAAGGATATTGTGATTCTCACCGAGGACATAAGCGCACCATCTGGTAGGCTCGAAACTTAGGAACAAGATGTCGGTAGTCTGCATAACCATGATATTTGCAGATCTGTGCTGCTCACGGTCGTAGACACTTTACTGACCACATCGTCATCGATTAGCCTTGATGAGGCTGTTTAACGGACAGCAGATCTAGTTAAATCACTTAGCTCACTTCTGATCACGCGTTTGTGTGTGCTAGGATTGCCCTGCGTTTTGTTGGCACCTATTAGCATCGCCGGAAACAGCTTGAAGTAGGCAAACCTGTCGTTCCAAATAATCTGGGTGCCTTTCGGAATTCGTTAGCTTGTATTCTGAAGAGCCCTCTACTCGCAGATGTTGAGGCGCATTGGACACATATCCGGAATGTCGTACACAAACCTGCTAATGTCATCTGTGTGTTCACTAGGCACATCATCAACCGAGAGAGGTCCGCTCAGTTCTCAACTTATGTAAGACCACCATGCAATTCCTGTAACTCTACGCAGTGCCCTGAACGCCGAGCTCAAACAGCTCATCATAAAAGATCGCAGAGCGTGGAGGCAGTGACGGTGCATTTTGTGATGCACCGCCTGTGTTCCGTGAGGCGTTTGGAACTACCGATTTCCTTACGGCATTCGCGTGTAGGCCTCCGGTGTATCGCTTACCCGACTGTTGTTTCTACCGGACTGCATTTATCTCCGAGCCCGTGTCGTCGTGACCGATTTACAGGGTACTGACCCTTCCCACCCACCCCACCCCCCAGAAGGGAGTGGAACCTGGTTAGTTGCATGTGTCTTGTTCTATAGGAGGAGCGCGATGTGCCGTCGCATTTTAATCAGACTACTGTATCCACCTCCTCTGCATAGGCAGCTGTATGATATCATCTGCCTTCTCGACCACGTCAACAATATTCCACTTGAAAAGCACAATTAGAAGACGAAGCTCGGCAGATGCATGCATTTCGTATCGTCTCATCAGTGCCGAGAACGATAACTGGTAATTTTATATGATAGTTTGTGGGTACAGACATACATATAAACAAAGGAGAGAAAAAACGGGGTGTCTTTGTTCTACAATCAGGGCAGCCTGAGGCTGACCGATAATGGTTTTTGAACACAAAGCTGTGGCTTAATCCGATTAATGGCAATAGCCTCGGCAAACCGGAGGAGCCGGGAATTAGTATGGCGAAGCAGGCTTCGAAACGCTTTGTTGACCTCAATTCGGTGACCCGATGTCAATAAGTGCCTGCCGATCGAAGGTGCTGGCGGCCTGCGTACACATGTAGTCTGAGTTGGGCTTGCTTGCTGAATAAGTCCGCAATGAACCCATTTTGGTACATGCTCCTTAATTCGGGAACTCAGTGTTCTATTGGTTCTGCCTATGTAACTATCCCCGCAGTTACCTACGAATTGATATACGCAGTGGGAGTTGGCGCCAATAGGCTGAGTTTCCTTTAGTGAAGGCAACGGTAGGTTATGAGTTCGGTCGATGATTACAACTTCGGCAGCACAGAAAGTGCTCTTTGTGGCGGAAATCAGACGTCTTCTGATCCTCAAAGAAGCAATGTCACCCTTAAAAGGCAGCTCCAAGGATACCATTTTCTTAGGCACAGTAGGTATAGCAACTTTCATTTCACGAATTTCACTGTGCTTCCGGATGAACTTTCGAGGGTAGCCATTGGCAGTTAACGTGTTGGTAATTAATTCCAGTTCATCGGCTAGACAATCGCTCGAACATATTCGTCTGGCGCGACTAAACAGGGTCCTCACAAGCGTTCGCTTGTGCCGCATTGGCGTAAAGCTGCTAAGATGCAGATACTGTCCCGCCCACGTTGTTTTTCGATAGACAGACCGTTTTACCAGTCCGTCCTCCCTGCGGCTGATAAGAAAATCCAAATATGGAAGACAGTTCTGTTGTTCGATTTCACAGGAAACCCTCATATTGGCATGCGCAGAGTTAAAACGTGCCACTAGCTGTGCGATTTGAATTTCTGTCGAACTGAATACCGGGATATCGTCAACGTAACGTTTGTAATGGGGTAACTGCGCTATTTCTTCGGATAGGCTTCGTTCTATCATCAGCATGAAGAAATCCGCTAGTATGGGACCCAGTGGGCTGCCCATGGCTACCCCATCAATTTGGCGATACGGTATGTTTCGGAAGTGGAAATCGACATTCTCTGTGCATAGAAGTAATGATTCTCTTAAGAATTCAACTGGAATCGGCAAAGGACATTCGGAACTTTCTGCTAATTCGCAGATGTAGTCAACAGTCTGGTGTAGCGGCACGTTAGTAAACAAAGATTCCACATCTAAGGAACACATCACCTTATCGGACAAGTTCATTTTATCGAGATCTTCGACAAGCTCGAAGGAATCTTTGAGGCTATGTAGATTAAATTGAGCTGTTAGCGGAGAAAGCACATTAACCAACCAGCGAGCTAATTTATGTTGGGGTGCGTTTGTCATC